GGTCATGACATTCGCTGTTCTGATCAAAAATTATTGCTATCCCCCACTTGTATTCACATTTTCTAGCTTTTTTAACTTTTCTAATGCATGACATGAGTACTATCCAAACGCCACCCCTCTATTGAAATGATGAATTCTGTTTTGCATAATTGGAGCGGTTTTGAGACTTTCTTAAAAAAAAAGTTGCTTGCTAAATGATTTATCTTAGAAATTTATCTGAGAATGATCTGTCCTCTGAGCATGTTGTGTTTGTTTCAATCTCATCTGTCTCTGCATTCCTTTTCTCCTTCTAGCGAGAACTTTCAAAAGCTTCCAAATTTGATCGTCAATCACGAATTCTCAACTCTACAACCAGCAACATCCATACCTGACCTGGCAGCAAGAAACCAGTGGGAAGCTGGACTGCTCAGAAATTACACCTGCGTGTGCACAAAATGAAGTCTGCGTATACTGTATAATGTGTTGTAATAGGACTGGCATGTTAGGATGTATTACTTAAACTGTAAATGCAGATTATGTGAAAAATGCTACAGATGAATGTGGGTAATGCACCTGTTTCCCTTGACTGTACATTGCTTAAATAAGTCATTGCCAGATGGGGAATTAATAAACATAAGCACAATTTTTAGCTGTACTTTAATGTGATGAATTTCAAATGGATTTTCCTATTGAACAGCCTTCATCCAGTGCGCTACATTTGAAAGTAATCTCATACCATGATTCCAGATGTTTTTAGAAGTCACTTTCTGTAAAGAGAGAGGGAGATCGAAGGATAAATGATTAGGAGATTTCCAGGCTCAACTGCAAAAGTATTTTTACCCAAAAAACTAACTTGTCCAATTTCTGTTTTAAGTACTGTACTAAAGTTGCATGCCAATGCCTTTTAAAATTAAAATGATCAATTTTTTGGTCATTGTTCTTTCTAATCCACTTAATTTGCAGTTTCAAAGTAGTCTGAAATGAGTTACCCTTGTTAATGGGTGATGTAATTCCCTTGTTAATGTTACAAGGAAAACCCAAACCCTTCACACTGGAACTTTCCTGTATTACTTTCCTAATTCAGTGTTGTGTGTAATGCTAAACTTAATGAAACCTCATCAAGAACTTGGGGAAGCAATCTCCAAGCAGGAATCTGTAAACATTTTCTGTATTTAATCTTTTGTATCACTGATAGCAAAAATGTTCCACAACAGTGTAATTGACAGTGCCAACCAAACAATGTGAATTAGTTTGTCTTTTTAATGGGAAGTAATGACGTTGAAATTAATCTGAATGGGATCTAGCATTAATATTCTATATTGACATCTAATTGGCTGTTAATTCTTAGCATATCCCCCATTCCCTGTGCTTGCTTTTTTCACATAACCTATGGCTTTTATGATCTTATTATTTGTACACGGTTTAAAATAATTTTTGCAGATTTAGATTGTGTAAATATTCTTTTATTAAGCTAATCATGAAGTTTTGCACCTTTTTATATTTCCACTTATTTATTCATATTAACCTTTTCTTTTAATCATTTACAAATTTGCTGTAAGATAGTTATGAGTGATGAGAAGAGTTTTTAAACACTAACCATAACATAGGTGTTACAGCTACAGACTTTTGCGACCAAATAGTGTAATATTCTCTGGGCTGGCAATCATTTATCTACTATCTGAGAAGATTCTTGTTTTTGGTATACATTGCATATGCTTCTCTGTAGCTGGTCAAATTTGGTTCATTAGTGTAGGTACGATTTATTGAATCTTGGGAGTGAACAGCCTTCTATCCTAGAGGTTTTAATGTTCAGTTGAGTTAGGGGAAGGAAAGCCTCGGTGGAGTTCTTTATTTTCAAGTAATCTCTCACTTTACGATTTGAAAAAAAAATGTTAAAAAAATCCATTTCTTTGCCAAGTTTTGATGGAGCCACTCTTGGATATGCAAGGAAGCTTGCTGTTAGAAGTGATAGGCAAATTGATAGAGGACAACCCTGATCCTGATGTGTCTTGAGGATAAAAGAATAATTCGGTTTTTTAAATGAACTGAGAAAGTCATAATATGTCACACTTGTCAGTTGATGTGTATATTGCAAATTAGGTTGCTTAAAACAAAACATTTATTTTGAATTCCATATTTTCTTAGTATTCCATTCAGGACTGCAGACAGGTCGCAAGACCTTCAAAGGATCTTGACCAATATATTTTTGTCTTTCAATAGTGCAGTCTAACGAGAAAATTCAGAGCAGTTCCATCAGCAGTAGCTTTTGCCAAAAGGCAAGCTGGGCTATTCACCAAGCCTTTCTTTTCAGTTGCTGGTAAAGCTAAAAATGTATCCCATTGTGTTGTGATGTAATTTGTATATCACCATTATAGCAGCAAGTATGCAAATCCTTTGAAAAATTACTCTCAATGAGTAAGTTCATGATTTGCTGGAAGTGAGTCCTGTGCTTCTTAAACAAGGCAATTTTGAACAGTTTAATGGTTTGAATATTCAAGTTCAGAGTTGACTGCCATAGACAGAATGTGTAGGTAATATGGACAAACCAAGTTAGTGCTGCTTTTTTTGTTTTGGCAATACCTCCATGCATCTGGGAACCTTGTGTTTCTGTTTTAACCCAATGTCTATTGAACTTACAAATTGTTCAGATATTTTTCTGCCAGCCATAGAAATTTGGACAGTGCCTTTCTTTTTGCTTTGAAAAGACCATAAATGTCTTTCTGTAAAATCTATAAATATCCAACATGAAAAGGTACCCAAGAAAAATTGTTAATGAAGTAATGAAATCAAACTGAGCTATAAGGTATGTATGTAGAATCTAAGACCAGTTTGCACTCTACTACATTGATGCAGAATAACCTGAGCTACAGCAGGTACTTTGGAACTCTATGCCTTTTAAGGTCAAGGTGTGAAATCTTTTTGGTGACTAACAGAGCTCTAAATATTAGCATTGGATGCAAATGTGTCAATGTAATCTGACCATTGGTTTGAGCATGTCTCTAAACTGTACAATGCCTTGAATAAACAGTTAAAACTGAAACTCTTTGTTTGCACATCTCAAGTCCGAGTGTACTATTAACATCTTGCCTTTTTTTCACGTCAGTTGAAACCAAGCCAATCGGCTGTTGCTCTTTTGTTATCCTAATTATCACGCTTATTGTAATAGTATTAGTTATAAATAGACTTGTGTCTTAGGACTGTAGACAAAATACTGTATCACTTGTAATATTGTCACTTGAGCTCTAATATGTAATCTGGCTACATGCTTGCATTTGAATTCAATTCCAGGAGGCTACCCTGCTATACTTGAATTTCATTCAGCATTTCCCATCATTACTCTAACTCCTGACAGAGTTAACTTTCAGCACTAATTTTCAATGCAAAAGTGTATGAAAATTTGTTATTGAAATATATGGTGTCCTAATGGTGCTTATCTCTGTCATTCTGATGTAAATGTCAAATTATTCCTTGCCTTTTCAGCAAAGAGAGAATGGGTGAGAGCATGCAACTATTTAAAAATTACAGTAGTGTAAAGTGGGGATGAAGAAGTTTTCACAAGTATATAGGGAATAGAATTGTATGTATCATTGGAAACCATTTTAATATTTTCTTTCATGAGATGTGTACATTGCTGCCAATAACAGTACATATTGCCCATGCCTAAATGCTTTTGAAATGGAATGAGTGTGTGATCATCCTGAGTCATTGCAGTTTGATAACGGAAGGGAGTTTCAAAATCTGACCCAGTGATGAATTTATAGTTCCCACTCCGGATGGAGGGGG